TAGTAGAGACGGGGTTTCACCGTGTTGACCAGGATGGTCTCGATCTCTTGACCTCGTGATCCACCCGCCTCGGCCTCCCAAAGTGCTGGGATTACAGGCTTGAGCCACCGCGCCCGGCCGGCAAATAACTTTTTATTAAAAAAAAGGAAAAACGATTTGGAACAAAAAAGTGGCAATGGACCATAAGTTTTTCTATCAGCTATTCTTTTTTCCTAAAAGCTTGAGTTTTGGTGGTTTCTTAAAGCAAAATGCAATCTTCGAAACTAACCTCTGCTGGCCAGAAACCCAATCAACAATATGATGGCTTTGTATGGGTTTTAAGGAGGAGTAGAAGGCAGGAGAGAAAGTTATCTGTTGTGGCTTCTTCCACATGGTGGATATTCAATTATTTAAAAACAATAACAACCTCAGGAATAGCTAGAGGGAGACTAGAATAACATGCCTGGCCTATATTAGCTCCTTGATCAAAATGGGATGCAAATGAAAAGGTGATGTGAAGAAAGCTCTGAGATCTGGAAGAGAGTGCTTTGACTCACTCTGTTACTACTGAGTGGGTAAAAGCATTTCAGGAAGCCCTCTGTGTGAGTGTAGGTTTGGTAGGAACAGAGAGGGGGCGGGAAGGAGGAAAACAAAGCATTCCTGCCTGGTCCCTTTGAGTCTTGCAGGAGGATGTCCCCTGTCTTCCTCCTGTCCCTCAGTACTTTTAGACAAAATAGAGTTTATAGGGAGTTCCCACAGCACATCTCTTAAATGTCACAGCTGGTTAGGGCCACTGATGAGTCGATGCTTTCTTCCTTCCCCACAGGTTACTTGTACCTGGCCATTGAGTACGCGCCACATGGAAACCTCCTGGACTTCCTGCGCAAGAGCCGTGTACTGGAGACGGACCCAGCATTCGCCATTGCCAATAGCACTGCATCCACGCTGTCCTCCCAGCAGCTCCTCCACTTCGCTGCCGACGTGGCCCGGGGCATGGACTACTTGAGCCAAAAACAGGTTTGTCTGGAGGACATTGCCTTGGATATCTTTCCTCTGGAGTTCCGTCTACAGTCAGTTTCAGTACGTTTGTAGGGTCTGTCAACCTCTCTTCTTTAACTCCTTCTCAAAACCTCCCTCATTTTGGCGGAGGCTGCAATGAGATGAGATTGCGCCACTGCACTCCAGTCTGGGTGACAGAGCAAAACTCTGTCTCCAAAAAACAAACAAAAAAACTCCCTCATTTTAATCTTTGTTAATAGTCAATCTATTTAAATAAAAATCAATATTGAAAATCTAGTGATTTTCATAATATGTATTTGGTGAGGTACCTTAAGGTCTCTTAGCCTGGTTTGCCTCTAAATAGTGTACAATAACAGAGACATAGTACCTTACAGCTGGAGGATTTAACAACTTGTGTTTATTTGTTCCTTTTCTGAAATTATTCTGTGAAGATGCGGTGTGTCAGTTGGCAGAATCCATTACCAGGGAATTTTGGAGGGGAACTTTAAAGGAACGGGATTGTGACTTTTTAAAATCCTTTTTACACTATTGTTTTCGTCCCTGTTCCCCAGTTTTCAGCCCCAGGGCTTTCATTATGCTGAATATACATAATGTTTTCAAAACTTTCAGTTTATCCACAGGGATCTGGCTGCCAGGAACATTTTAGTTGGTGAAAACTATATAGCAAAAATAGCAGATTTTGGATTGTCCCGAGGTCAAGAAGTATGTGAAAAAGACAATGGTAAGTTCAGGACGCGGACACTGATCGCATCCTTTTGGAGGTTCTTCCCACTCTCCTGATGTTGCTTCTGAGACTCTCAGTGCTCTGTGGTGACTGAAGCATGTGACTGTGTCCCAGTAAATACTGTGTGCCCTGGGAAGCATCGTTTCTCAATGATTGCAGGGTCTGCATTACTAATGAAGAAGGCACTGTCACATGTGACCAAGTGATTGAACATTCAAGCCTAGTGGTTTAGGGTCTTGGTTCTATCCAGTTCAGACCCCCAGGCATGTCACTCAGAAACCTCTGAGGAGCTTACACAATCCCCTTTCATTCACAGGAGACATAGCAAGGAAAAAAAAATTAGCATATTTTCAAAAAATCAAATACATTAAATGATTTCTAAATCACCAGGAAGCTCTACAGAGAAATTCATAACTTCTACAAGCTCATTGAGATTTCTCTCTTCGCTGAAACTTCAGTGGTCACTATTCAAGCCCAAACAAAATCCACTCTTCCAAGCAGTAATATTTTAAGTACAGGATTGCAGGTGAACCTAACCATACAGTCTTAGAGGAAGAGAGATACTCTTTCTCCTTTTGGTGCCCAGTCTAGAATCATACAGTCCTAGAAGGACCACATCCCTGCATGTTAGAGCTGTGTGGATGAAACGTCAACACCCTCTGTTTTCCTGGGGTGGACAGAATGCAGGGCCTTAGGGATGACAAGCCCTGCAGCCTTTCATTGTGTCTGGCAGAAATCCTCTGGTGGGATGGCTCTCCCTTTTTAGGTCTGATGAACATGACTTGGGCCCAGCTTTCCTGGGATGGCTCCAGTTGTCATGAGATATAGACAGTCTTTCTGTTTTTGTGGGCACACCAGATTGTCTCTTAGCAAGGCTCAGACTCCTGTATTTACTCTCAATTCCAGGCGTCCTTTTTTTCACCATACTTATTTTAGTTACTGAGAAGATAAAATAAAAACAATACTCGAGTATTTTGAAAAGGAAATCACCCATAATTCACCACCTTGGCATTTACGTTTTTTTTGTTTTTGACTTATTGCCTTCTACAGCATGTATCCTTTCACATAGCTGCAACACAGTGAACATAATCATTCTGGATCTTTCCATTCTCTTTTCTGTTGAGAGTACGAAGTGAGGTCCCCTTGAGTCTTTGAAAATTGCTGAATCCCTGAAGATAAGTAGGACTTACACTCTTTGCATGTTTTGAAATTTGAAAACACGTATGCAGCTGGGGCGTACACAAAGCAGTGATTTCTGAGTCTGCCCAGGTGGTGAGGTTCCCCATGGGTTTTGTGGAGCTGCAGCTCAGGCAGGCTGAGAGCCTCATAAAGACCCTGTCCCACTTAAGTGACATCTCACTTTGTTCTCTCCAGGGAAGGCTCCCGGTGCGCTGGATGGCGATTGAGTCACTGAATTACAGTGTGTACACAACCAACAGTGATGTGTGAGTAAGCTTCTTATTGCCAAGGGATTGTTTTTCCCTCTCAGGAAAATTCACATTTGACGGGTTTTAAAAGGAAGCTAGGATGTCCTGTACCTTTCAGGAACAAAGGTAACCGAATGCTCCGGAAATAAATTAACAGAATAAATAGAGCTGCAGAGTACACAGTTTCCAGAGTGCAGAATCACTGGTGTCAGGTTTTGGGTTTCCTTCTGCATACTGAAGTTGTCTTCTGCATGTGCTTCAAGTTGCGAATTCTTGGACTCAACAGGAAGAAAGGACATACTGGCCTTCCTGTGGCTCCTCTCCCAGACCTAGATCAGAGGAAGCAGCCCAGAATAGCTGGTGGGGACCAAAGTAAGGTCAGATTGGGGATCGTCTCTGCTTGCAACCTGCAGTGATGCATCAGAAGGTGGCGGGGGAAGGAAGGATTGGCTTGAGATTTAGGTCTTCTTGCCTTGCATCCCATTTCCAGGAGGAAAAACCAAGGCCCCGAGGGTAGTGGTGATGTGTCCAAGGGGTTTTGCTAATGCCTGGGGATGAGGAGGGGGCGGGCAACTGCTGCGTTCTCACTGTGTGCCAGGTGTTTTTTGTGTTTCTCTGAATAACTTTGGAGCAGGGATTATTGTCCCCACTTTTGGAAGAATACACTAAGAGGTCCAGCAACTTTTTCCAGGTCACAGAAGTACTGGGTGGCAGAGGTGTGATTTAACTCAGGTCTGTCAAGATCCGAAACATATTTCTTTTGTTTTGGACTGTACCACCTTTTAGCCTCCAGTTAAAGTGATCTGGGGGCTCTGGCAAAGTGAACGCTGTTTCTTGGTTGTAACCCTTCCATTGAGCTAAGAGGAGAGAAACCCGCACTGTGTGCAAGGCCCTATCCTAGGATGTAGACATTTAACATTTCCTTTTCTCAGAAAATGTGGGTCTCCCTGGCTCTTAGGGCAGGAAAATGAGTGGTGACTCTGTTTGCTGATTGTTGGTTTTACACTTGTCCCTCCTGCAGGTGGTCCTACGGTGTGTTACTCTGGGAGATTGTTAGCTTAGGTGAGTATCTCTGTTTATCTACCAGGTGAGACTCTAGGCAAAAGGAGTCTCTAGCACACCCTTGCCGCATAATTCACCATTTGTATTGGTTCTACCAGCTGTGACTTGAAAATAGAAACATAGTGTGTTTATTCCCACATTTTTCTTTTTTAAAAACCCCATACCTAATGTCATGTATAACACTGATGACCTGGAGGCCATGAACTTCGCTATACATCAGTTGGCTCTGCTTGTACATGATGCCAAGTTAACTTCTAAAACTTTTAGATTATGCAGCTATTAAAGACACATTTTTGAAGGCCATTTAATAGCATGTGAAAATATACATGCCAGGAAATATATAACAATTTCATGTATACTCTGATCCTGGTTTTATCATTATTGCATATTTTTTAAAAAATGGAAGGCACTACACAGAAAGGTAATAAAAGTAATTTTATTCTCCATGCTTTTTAATGTGGCATATATACACCATGGAATACTATGCAGCCATAAAAAAGAGTGAGTTCATGTCCTTGCAGGGACATGGGTGAAGCTGGAAACCATCATCCTCAGCAAACCAACACAGGAACAGGAAACCAAACATACGTGTTCTCATTCATAAGTGAGAGTTGAACAATGAGAACACATGGACACAGGGAGGGGAACATCACACACCGGGTCCTGTCAGGGGGGTGGGGGATAAGGGGAGGAAGAGCATTAGGAGAAATACATAATGCATGTGAGGCTTAAAATCTAGATGATGGGTCGATGGGAGCAGCACACCACCATGGCACATATATACCTGCACGTTCTGCACCTGTATCCTAGAACTTAAAACTTAAAAAAAAAAAAAAACTACAATAAACGTGTGTTGCTGCTTCTAATTAAAACTGGACAATAACTATAATTGATAAAATAGGAAATATCAAACTGTGGGCTTCCAATCAGTAAAAAGGTTAATCTTACTGGTAAAATAGATGTGCTCTGTGTGGGAAGACTTAGGGAAAAGAACGAACACTGAACTGAGGACGCCTAGGGTGGTTCCTTCCCCTGAAGCAATGATCATGCTTTGGCGTAGTCTGTAGTTTAAGTCCAGCTTTCACGTGTGGTGGGTTTGCCAAAGGAGGCAAGCAGGATGCGCACCCTCCCTTCATTTACCGTGTCTTCCTCCTGGCCTCTTAGCTTTAGAACCCCGGGACGGGAAGCATTGCTTTTAATGCCAGAGAGGACTTAGAGTGGCACTGTTTTTCTTCCAGGAGGCACACCCTACTGCGGGATGACTTGTGCAGAACTCTATGAGAAGCTGCCCCAGGGCTACAGACTGGAGAAGCCCCTGAACTGTGATGACGAGGTGTAAGTCAGGCCTCATCCTGGGGCTGTTTTGTCTTCTCTTCCCCCTGTGTGTTTCTGGGGCCAGCTGGCTCTAACAAAGTCAACTGGTATACACCTATACACAGAGATCCCAAGTGGGTGAATAAAAGGGGGGGGTCCCCAATACTACGACTGTTAGGTAATACACAAGGAGTATTAGTTTTACAGGCATAGCAATTTAGGAGGCATTTAATGACTCTTAGGAAGGTTGAAATGAGGAAGGGCAACAAATGCAGAAAATTTCTGAAATAAATTCGTGGAATTTTTCATGAAGAAATCAACATACGCCACTAAGCTTGGCGATAAAGATTTCAGAGCTGTTCATTAAGAAAGGTACATTTTCTTACTTAGAACCTTGCTTCTGCTAAGATTACTTTCCAAAAGTAAGAATTATGCCAAGGTACAGAATAACGAACTGTAGTGATAGCACCATTCCCAGAACTAGCTGTGGTAGAAGCTAAGTGGCATGTTTGAGCAAATAATTCGGTGTCTAAATGGGCTACTCTAAGAGTGAGGGAGAGTGTTAATAATCTCACTGGTGCAAAAAGCATGCATACCATCCTGGGAAAACCTGGACAGAGCTGGACCATCACTGGACACAGTCCCTAAAATTCCACCTTTTGAGATTCACTTCATAAGGCATGAGAAGATGTTTTAGTCTTTAAGAAATTTGTTAAAGTATGAGCTCTTCTGGGATCTGTGATACCCTAAACCAATAGTTGATAGCCTTCTTGCACATAAGGTTCCCCTGAGGCATTTGTTCAGTATGTGGACTCTTGAGCCCCACAATCAGTCATTGATTCTGTAAGTCTAGGGCAGGTTCCAGAAATCTGCATTTTAATATCATGAGTAGTTCTGAGCACAACTGAGAAAGTACTTGTCTTAGACCAGTGTTTCCCAAACTATGTTTACGTGTTGTGCAAGATATAAATACATGCCACAAGGGGAAAGGAGTTCTGTGGTCAATTAAGTTGGGAAACTTTGTGTTAAACCTGCTGTGTCTTAGTCATTTTCCGGCTGCTATAACCAAATACCATAAACCTGGTGGCTTATAAACAACAAAGATGTATTTCTTCAGTTCTGAAGGCTAGGAAGTCCAAGAGCAAAGTGCTGGCAGATTTGGTGGCCATGGACCATCTCCTGGTTCATAGATGGCCATCTTTTTGCTGTGTCCTCATGTGGCACAAGGGGCAAAAGAGCCTTTGGAAGCCTCTTCTGTGAGGGTGCGAATCCTCTTCATGAGGGCTCTACCCTCATGACCTAATTACCTCCCAAAGGTCCCACCTTCAAACACCATCACATGGGTTCAACACAGGATTTTTGGGTGGCATGAACATTCAGTCCATAGCACCTGATTAAACAGGCTTTGTTTTAAATGACAGCACTTCTAAAAGTCCTGCCTCTTAAAGGGGGATACAATAGGTGACATTTTACAAGTTTGGGCATGGACCTTTTAAGAGACACTAACAGTTTGGAAGATGCTGCATTCCAAGGGAAATGCTGCTCTACACATGTCCAATTCTTTCTAGATGATTGGAATAGCTGAGACTAAGATCCTGCGGAAACAGTACCCAGGGTAGGAACTAAATCTATGGGCGATGAAATGGGACTTGCTTAGGGAGGTGGGAGGCCTAGTAGCAACTTCTTAGGTACTGTACTTTTGTCTTCTGTTGGTTAAGCTTTATGACCGTGCATTGAGTGGCTTCAGTCTCTTCTCTCTTTTCCCACCAGGCCCAGGACTGAAGCACAGTTATAGAGTTAACCCTTTAATTCTTTGCTTTCAAAGGTATGATCTAATGAGACAATGCTGGCGGGAGAAGCCTTACGAGAGGCCGTCGTTTGCCCAGATATTGGTGTCCTTAAACAGAATGTTAGAGGAACGAAAGGTGAGTATGAAAGTCAGGCAGGAGATCTTTAATTGGAATTCCCAATGTGCCCAGGGTGGTTCATAAATATAACTGAAGCAGTTGAACATTTTTTTCTTGGCATGGCCTTAAGTATTACAGAAACAAAGGATACCCCCCACCCCCACAACTTTGAAGAAGTTACAATTTTGGGGGGAAGTAAGATTTCTATATAAGATATAGTCACATACACACTAGAACAACATACAGAATTAGCTTATTAGAGCTAGAAGGAATTTTAGTCATCTGGCCTGACCCTTTAATTTTATAGATGAAGAAACAGACTCAGAGGCGGGTAACTTGACTGAGGACACACAGCAAGTAGACAACAGAGCCCAGCCTGCAGGTTACTATGAGGAGGGTCAGGAATTCAATAAAAATTTCTACAAGTGAGTTGGCTATACTGATCTGGGAATCAAAAGAAAAGTAAAAATAGTTTAAAGATATAGTAATCAAAACCCAAGTGGTGATTCAACTAGAGATGCAGAAGAGATCACACAGGGGGATGTTAAGATGAGACACAGAGGAAGGAACGCTAGAGAAGCTGAACACATCAGGAGGTATCAATAGGACGCCATGAGGAAGGCAAGCTCAGAAACTGAGGCTGGAGTATGAAATCTTACTTGCAGAAGGCAAAGGGATGCATTTTAGGAAGAAAGTCATCAAATATAACAGAGGGACTGAGGACAGCAACATGTTGCCCAAGTACTTAGTATCTGAGTTGAAACAAACTAAGAAAACCAAGGTATTGCTGTAACTACCACTGGCAGAGGTAGAATCGAGGCAGCCTGTGTCTCTGAACCGTTCTCATTCTTCCAGACCTACGTGAATACCACGCTTTATGAGAAGTTTACTTATGCAGGAATTGACTGCTCTGCTGAAGAAGCGGCCTAGGACAGAACATCTGTATACCCTCTGTTTCTGATTCACTGGCCTGGGAGACCCTTGACAGCTGCTGGGAAAGCATGCCTCTGTCAAGAGATGTGACATAGAAGTGTACATACTTTCTGTACACCTGGGACCTTCACCTCTGTAGATCCCACACGTGGATCTCTATAGTATGTGCCGACTCCAATAGGACTGTATATACTGTTTTGAGTAAGAATGTGCTGAAATCAGAATGCCTGTTTGTGGTTTCATATGCAATAATATATATTTTTTTAAATGTGGACTTCATAGGAAGGCGTGAGTACAATTACTATAATGCATAACTCATTATTGTCCTAGATATTTTGATATTTACCTTTATAATGAGTGCTAGTAAATGGTTTGCTGTGTCAGAGTAAAATATTGTTAATAAACCTAACAATGACCCTGATAGCACAGGTTAAGTGAGAGAAATATATGAATTCTAAGAAAACATAGGTTAATATTTAAGAGACTGAACAATCTAAGTGATATAAATCAGATTCCTCTCTATCTCAATCTTACTCTCACCTGTAGCAGCCGGTCTCATTTCATTTAGTCATGTGACAATTCTGTCTTCTGTTTCCACAGCCTGCAAGTCAGTCCAGAATGCTAATATCCAAAAACAGACTTAAAGCTTGTTCCTTACAAGCCTAAGACTCTTTAGAGGAGAATACATATGTTTAAGATAAAATTTTCTTTTCTCTGGTAATAGTGACTTGTATATTTTAAGAAATAATAAAAACAGAAAGCCTGAGTGAGATTTGGGAGACATGTGACATTTATATATTGAATTAATATCCCTACATGTATTGCACATTGTAAAAAGTTTTAGTTTTGATGGGTTGTGAGTTTACCTTGTATACTGTAGGCACACTTTGCACTGATATCATGAGTGAATAAATGTCTTGCCTACTCACATCTCATCCAGGAGTATGTCTCATAGCTCTTGTCACATGTCTTTATTATACTTTAAAGAAAAATGCTTTAAATTATCCATCCCTAGCACATAGAGTAGTTGGCGAGTATACTTCACCAGATACAGAATCTGAAACTCACCAGATTGAAAAGATCTCCTAGAAGTGTTCCACTGTAAAGTTCATTTTCTTGCAATAGGCAGTATACCTTTGGAAGTGTTCCAGTGTGAACCAAGGGCTTACAACTGGAATTCCTTTTAATTGTGTTACAATGTTAATTAAAGTCCTCACTTAATGTCATTGATAGGTTCGTGGAAACTGCAGTAATATATAATGAAACCAGTTTTACCATAGGGTAACTGATAGAAACAGAAGTCTCTATAGCATATAGTACATCATTTCACTTAAGTCAGTTTCCAAGAATCTATTGAAAACACTGAGGACATACTGTAGTTCTACATGCTTCACAAACTTCCATATTCGTGCCATCTTAAAGTTATGTGTTCAGAAATTACAACTAGGCAACTGAATTCAACCTGAACACTATTCACAACAGCATATTCCAGCAAAAACACAGAGCAAAATCAAGGCTGCTCACATAACGGTTAATCAACTAAAGGGAAACAAGAATGAAAAGCCATTGAAATATAGGTCCAGCGTGTCATCAACAAGAGGGCAGACTAGTAGATACCAGCCTTTATCTTCCCACACACAAAAATAAAAATAGAGGCAACTATTCACATACCAAAACAGCCCAGAGGGAGTGCAAGGGCCCGTTATAGGATCTGCAGCCATACAGTGGGGCACAATAATGGAGAATACCCACGTAGAAAAGATTGTGATCAGCTTACCTAATACACCAGGAGATGTCTAGGAACAAGGAAGAAAGGTGGAGGCCTTGGTATGAGCCACCCAGAAGAACTACTGTGGTCACCAGTGACCTGCTCTGCCACTGAGGTGTTAGAGAGCCATTCCCACTGGAGAAGCCTAGAAAGGGAAATACAGCTGCACATCCCTAACAACCCCCACCCCTAGAAATGGCTGCTGTTGAGCCACTTGGAGAAAGGAGCCACTTTTTCTCCTAACCCTCAATCTTGGAGCTGCAGCCACTTCATAAGAACCCACACACTCCAGTCTCAGGCTCTGTGGCTGCATTGGGCCTACCCATGTCTCAGACACTGGAGTCATTGCCATAGTAAACTAGTTTGTATTCTGGGCCCTAGAGCCCATACTCTGCACACTGATTCAGCCACATGGATAACTAGGCTCCATCCTAACCCGTGAGCCACACTAACTCTGTGTACACCTGTGCTTCCATTCTTGGTTTCCTGGCTACTTCACAAGCATTTGTAGCACAAAGCTACTGCCAACTTGACACACAGGGTGCCTGTGCCTCAAGCCACCAGCTCAGCCACCATAGAGAACCAGGTCCCGACCTAACTCTGGAGCTTCTCCAATACTGTGTGTGTCTGTGCTCCCATTCTCAGTTCTACCAGCTGCTCCAGGAGCATCTATGGCTTCCATACTGTTACTCTAGAAGGGATGCCTGTGCCCCAGGCACCAGTGCCATTAATTCCCAGATCTCATAGCGACAGACCCTCTACATGTTCTCATGCTTCAGGCCTCAGCTTCATGGCTGCTCCAGTATTTGAGGTGCCACTCAAATACTGGTACTATCATCACTGCAAGAGAGCCCATAAGCCAGACCCAGTGCCAAGACAAACCCTGCCCCCCCCCAGCTATGACTTTCATAGAGGGAGAAAAGAGATCAGATGGACCTCAGCCATTGTCTCTGAAGACCCCAACAACCCTTTCTGCCACTGTAGATATCCACAGTGCTGACCACTGAGGATCCCTGCTACCTTTGTCAGCACCAATCTCTCCTGACAGAGCTGGTGCCAGAACCACTGCACCTCAGTCAGCAAATGGTCTTACATTCCATGGAGATGAGGGTCTTTCCACAGCAAAACTAGCCCATGAGTTCTGCGAAAGGTAACTGTTCCACCAAATGCACAGGTATCAACATAAGCAACAAGAAAAAATCAGACACATCACCAAGAGCAAAATAATCCAGTAGCTAACCCCAAAGAAATATGCAAACTGTCTGATAAAGAATTCAAAGGAATTGTTTTAAGAAAGCTCAGCAAACTTCAAGAGTATTCAGAGAATTCAATAAAATCATGGAAACAGTAAACAATCAAAATGAGAAATTTAACAGATTGAAATTATATTTTAAAACCCCAACATTCTGGAGCTGAAAAATAAATGAAAAATGCAATAGACAACATCAGCAACAGAATTGATTCAGCAGAAGAATCTGTGAACTCAAATATGTGATTTGAAATATGTGGTCATGGGGTGGGGGGAGAGGATGAAAAGTAATGAAGAAAGTGTATGGAATTTGTGAGACAGCATCAAAAGAGCACATGTTTGAGTTATAAGAGTTCAAGAAGGAGAATATAGAAAGCTTATTTGGAGAAATAAATAGCATAAAACTTTCCAAATCTGGGGAAAGATAAGTATTTAGGTACATGAAGGTCAAAAATCTCTAAACAGATTCAATCTGAATAATATTACAGCAAGATATATTATAATCAAATTGTCAAAAAAAAAAAGTTTCCTGAAAGCAGCAAGGAAAAAGAAGATTAACACATATAATGGAGTTCCAATAAGGCTGGCAGCCAATTTCTTAGCAGAAATGTTACAGGCCAGGAGAGAGTGGAATGATATAGACAAAGTTCTGAAAAGAAAATAATGTCAACCAAGAATCCTGTATTTGGTAAGACTGTCCTTCAGAAATGAATAAAGAAAGACTTTCCCAGACAAAAACTGAGGGATTTCATTACCACCATATCTGACATGCTAAAGGGAGTTCTTCAAGCTGAATGAAAAGAATGCTAATTTAATTAATAACATGAACATATGAAAGTCATTGGAAAAGTTATCACACAAATTCCGAATAATACTATGTGGGTGTAAATCATCTTTAGTATTAATGTTAAAATGAAAAACTATCACAAATAATAGCTACAATCACTTGTTAAGGGATTTGCAACATAAAAAATATAAATTGTGGCATCAAAAAATGTTGAGGGGAGAAGAAAAGTGTAGTTACTTTATTCAATTAAAATTAAATAACAACTAATTAAAATTAAGTTGTTATCAGCTTAGTCTATTATAAGATATTTTATATAAGCCTCCTGGTAACAACTAGCAAAAATCTACACAAGATACACAGAAGATAAAAATGTAAGGAATCAAAGTACATACCATTAGAGAAAAATCATCTAAAGGAAAAAAGGAAGAAGATTTGCAGAACAAACAGAAAACAATGAACAAAATGGCAACAGTAAGTCTTTACATATCAATAATTACCTTGAATGTAAATGTTAAATTCTCCATCCAAAAGACATAGATGGGTCTTATTTTTTTATTCAGCCAAATTATATGCTGCCTACAGAGACTCACTTCACTTTTAAAGGTACACACAGAATAAGAGTGTAAGAATAGAAAAAGATATTCCATGCAAATGGAAACAGAAAGAGAACAAAGGTATCTATATTTATATTATATAAAATGGACTTCATGCCAAAAACTGTGAAGCAAGACAAACAAGGTAATTATGTAATAAAAAGATCAATTTATCAAGTATATAATAACTATAAATATATATGCACCCAATGTCAGAGCATCTTAAATACATAAAGGAAACATTAATAGATCTGAAGAGATAGATATATTTTAGAAATAAGAAAAATCCTAAGTGACTAATATGAATTATATGCCAACAAATTGAATAATCTAGAAGAAACTGATAGATTTCTAGATATATACAATTTACCAAGGCTGAATCATTAATAAATAGAAAGCCTAAGCAGACCAATAACCAGTAAGAAGATTATGAGTCAGTAATAAAACTCCCGTGAAAGAAAAGACCTGATGGCTTCAGTGGTGAATTCTATCAAACATTTAAGGAAGAAATAATACCAGTTCTTATCAAATGCTTTCAAGAAAACTGAAAAGGAAGGAAAACTTCAGTGTTCATTTTATGATGCCAAAACCAGACAAGGACACTACAAGAAAATAAAATTATAGGCCAATATCCCTTGGTGAACACAGGTGCAAAAATCTTCAACAAAAACTAGCAAACCAAATTCAACAGCACATTAAAAAGATGATTCACCATAATTGTGATTTATCCCTAGGTTGCAAGGATGGGTCAATATACACAAAGCAATAAATGTGATACATGGCATTAATAGAAAGAAGTACAAAAACCATATGATGATCTCAATACATTAGAAAAACCATGTAACAAAATCTTGTCATGATAAAAATTCTCAACAAATTTGGTATAAAAAAACATGTACCTTAACCCTGTAAACACCATATAGGATAATGCCCTAGCTAACATTATACTCAGTGGTGAAGTGTTGAAAATTTTTTTCTCTGAGATCAGGAACAAGACAACAACGCCACTTTTGCTACTTCTATTGAGCCTAATACTGGGAGTCCTAGCCAAAGCAATTAAGCAAGAGAAGGAAAGAAAATGCAACCAGTTCTGAAAGGAAGAAGTTAAATTGTCTCTGTTTGCAGACAATATGATCTTATATATAGAAAACTCTAAAGACGCTACCAAAAATAATCCTGTTAGAATAAATAAATTCAGTAAAGCTGCAGGATACAAAACCAACCCACAAAAACCAGAAGTGTATCTATTCATTAACAACAAACTATCTGAAAAATCAGGAAAACTCCATTTACAATAGTTACTAAAAACTAAATAGAAATAAATTTAACCCAAAAGGTAAAAGATTTACACAATGAAAACTATAAAACATTGATAAAAGAAATCAAAGAAGACACAAATAAATGGAAGAATTTTCCACATTTATAGACTAAGAATTAATATTATTAAAATGTCCTTACCACCCAGTGAGATCCACAGATTCAGTCCTTATCAAAATTCTAATGGCATTTTTCACAGAAGTAGAAAAGAGTATCCTAAAGTTTGTATGAAACCACA